GGGAGGTGTGGAGAGGCACAGCAGCGTCTGCTCTGCTGCCCTGTGACCCAGCAGTGGAACCGCCTTCTGCAGCAACTTGTGACCTATTTCAAAATAACCAGAAGAGTCCCACGTCCCAGCTCCTAGCAAGGATAAACATTTGCTGAGATGGGAACACTAAGTACTCCGGTTTGATCCTTACGGAGTGTACTCATGTCAAATTATCATACTGTGCCTCCTAAATGCGGACAAACATTATGTGTCGATTAAACAATTCTCAAAATTAAACAACTTGAAATCCCAGCACTGGGAGGCTGAGTCAGGAGGATTGCTGCATTTCTGAGGCCAGCCTGGGCTAAACAGGAAGTTCAAGGCCAGCCTGAACGACATAACCAGTCTTAAAACAAATGAAACAAAGATGGGGTGCAGAGATGGGGCTCACCACCCGCTTTTGCTGGGGGAAGGGTTCTGCCTGTGGCCCAGACTACACTGGGGCAGGGACTTCAATGGCATTGCAATAAACAAGCAGCCGACTCCGCCTCCTCAGTTGTAAAGTGGAGGCGTTGGCAGGGCTGACAGAGCACACAGTATCCCCGTCACCGGGTCTGGATGTGACCTGCAGGAGCAGCCACCGAGGCTGGGACATCTGGAGGCACAGGCTGCCCTGTCCTCAGGTCACCGGACTGTGGGAAGGGATGCAAGCTCCAGGCGGCCAGGTGAGCCGAGCCGAGCCTGCTGTGTGGTGCACAGGTGTGGCCCTGCCCCAGGGGTCGCTCCTTCTCCAGTCCTCCCGCTGAGATGCGTCCAGAGGGACAGGAGGAGGTGGAGGACGAAGGGACGGTGGCCAGGCACCAGGAGCTGGGCGGAGCCACGTCCCTGAAATTACTAGAAATGGGGTGCTGGGGAGGACGTGACCGCAGGGGCCCCGTCTGTGGTCAGTAGGGAGCCAGCCTCCAGCTCAGCTCAGTGGCCCTGAAGAGGACACTCTCCCCGGGGGTCACCACACCAGGATGGCACCACCTGCCACCTCCCAGGGGAGAGGGCTCTGGGGACAGCTGGGTAAACAGCCCAGCCAGAGCCCAGGGAGATGGAGACCCGAAGCCCCCTCCGCCTGGTCTGTAGCTCCCTGGGGAAGAGCAGTGTCCCCACCCCCACCCACCCCAGGGCCCCTGGGGCCTCAGCCCACACGAGAAGCAGCCAGGTTTGCCTCATCTGCAAGCAGAAAGGTGAAGTGAAAACAAGAAAGAAAAGCGCAGGAGGCCTGGGTCTCCAGCACACAGAGGCGCACAGCAGCAAGACCACAGCCGCTGATGGCCAGGGAAAGACCTCCGCCACGTGCAGCGGCGGGGCACAGGCTGGGCACCCCGTGCTTGGACATACACCGGCCACGCAAGGCTCCTGCA